GTTTGGATCTTGACAACTACTGCGTTAACGTGTGATCTGACAAAGATTTTTGACTACATGTTGATATTTTAATGAACAAACTGGAAATTTATGGTATATGAGGTGACTTATTGGATCCAATGGTCTCCTACCTCACGGATACGTTTCAGTATGTGGTAGTTCATAACCCAGTCTCTAACTTATTACTCATTAACGGCGGAGTGCCTCAGGGCTCGGCTACCTTGTTACTGAAATCGAATTTTCAAAAGTATCTGCGCTCGTATAAAAATTTTATATCTCGCTAACGGTAGGTCCTATGAGATCGCCGTTGGTACAGAAATGATCACCGTCGAAAAAGAAATTTTTTTTTGTCTGTTCGTTCTCCATTCTCCGTTCTCGTCTTTTGGTTTTTCCTGAATAACTTTAGCACCGTTGGAGCTACAAAATTGAAATTTGCCTCCCTCTTAACTCTCCACGAGGAACATAAGCTTGTAAGAAATGGCCCTGATCCGACGCCGGTATCCATCTTTTTTTAGCGATTTTCGACTGTTTTTCGGACCTTGCTATGAAACAAATTTGAAGCAATGGAATTCATATTTGGCTTTGCCCCGTGACGAGGCCTTATGAAAATAGGGGGGCTGAGGAGTCGGGAAGTATTCTAAACAAATAAAAAATCGCGCTTGTAAGGGGTGTAAGGTGTGTAAATGTTTACGAGACCAAAAAAATTCTTGAACCAGAAGAAGCAGAAGATACGGCTCTATAACCTGTTATTCATGACCATTTTTCAAAAATATACAGGGTGCGCCGCAAATTCAAAAAAATTGAAAAAAAGAAAAAAGAAAAAAAAAGAAAGGGTTTAAGAAAAAAATCGACACCACTAATACGTGGCTGAAAACCCAACGCGGCCAAAGAAATATTGAAGTTGTGAGTAGTCAAAGACTCCTTAAACTTCCTGGCGGTGTCTCACTTCATCTGCCTCTGCGTTTATCTTAACAATCACTCTGCCAAAGTAATTATTTAAATGGAGATCCCACTCACGAAATTGTTATGGCTATCATACATACTGCAAAAATGCTTTAGTTTTGTTCAAAAATATATTTTATAATTTAAAAGTAACTGCCTCCTAACGTAAAGATATCACAATTTTCAAGGCTTTAAAACATTTTCGCTTTAGGTTAAGAAAAAAAACGGAAAAATCTGTTTTTACAATTTCTTGTACATTTGAAGAAAAATTCTGAAGTTTTTCCCGAATAAAGCTTAAAAGTAAAATATTTTAGTAGAATAGAGAATCTAGTTTTAGTTGGTTTGGATTTTATGTTTTTTCGGAATTTGTGATATTGTGTTATATTATTTACAAATCTTCTGGATACCTCCTGCATCGGTTGTTTATAAATCAAACTCGCCAGTCATCCTGTTGACTTCTTAGCTGAGCTTAACTGCATTCGCATACTACCCTGTACTTGCTCATGTATTGTTTGAGAAGGGCGGAACTAAAAGACGGGCAGGAATATTGTCTCGGATGACCGATTCCGAGATTGGTGAAAGGTAAATATATGAGTCGAGGTTAAGATTGTTTGGCTACTTATAGATTTCTATAGATTCTCAGACTTTTCATTGGTAGAAAATTTATTGCATGCAAGAATTTTTTGTTTTATCGAATAAGGTTTGATGTCCGGTTTGATGATCGTGTCCGGCAACTAACTGCTGAATGTATTTGTCGTAATCTCCTTCATGTTCTTTGAGCCTAGTTGATATTTTTCTCCCCATAGCATGGAATCCTGCAATTTCGTGGTATCTCATACCAATGCCAATCTCAAACGGAATTTTCTCTTTGACGAATCGGAGATGTTGAGAGATTTTTGGACAAGTTGTAAATCTGGTTTTGACGTTATGTTCCTTTCGGACCTTTGATATGTGGTCAGTGATATTTTGATGGTATAGCAAGTGTGGGGTTGCTTTCGTATTTTCATTGTCTTTGGAAGGTTATGGTGAAGTATATTTTGCAATGGAATGCTAAATATCAATAATGTAAAAATTATTAGAGAGAAGAGCAGGTCGAAGATTTTGTTATTTCTGGGTTCAGTGACTATCTCAACCAGACTCAGGGCTGTTCCCGATATTTTTTCGTAAATTTGTTCGTTACATGTGAAGCATGTCCCAGATAGATGTTTTCGGATTTCGGATGTTTGAGATGAGGCTGTTTCAGGAACAGGAACTTAACTTAATACGTTTTAGTTCTTGAATAAAATAAAAAGAATTTAGTACACAACTGTAACTTTTTCCTGTGGAGAATTTTAAAATTGACGCTAGAAATTTTGCTAAGAACCGATGTGATAGGCTGAAGAGACCGAGAAGTGTCTCGACAAATCGATTGCGGAAGAGATGAAGTTTTAATGGCATATTAAATCCAGAGGACGCGTACCTACAAGTTTCACAGCCCCGAGGAGGTTTCTTTGAAAAACGGGCACTTGATAGACCTGAGATTTATCATAAAATATCGAGACACCATGTCTACGTTGCAAATAATACTGCTTATAAGTTGAAGCTAGAGATTCGAGAAAAAATATTCAGACCGGCTCGAATACATACCGGAAAGAAAACTGGTTTGTCTTCGCCTTAAAACGTACACCAGAATTCGCACTTTTTTGGTTGTATCGCACGGAATTGAATTAAAATGATTAACATACCGTTGACTATATAAATTATTGTGTTCTAATATTATTCCACGGGTGACATTTTACGGAATATACAATCGACACCTAACGGTTTTAAATACCAAGGGCTCGGTCGTTTATCGTAGCGTTGTCTTATCGAAAAAGAGACCTGATAATTTATTATAGCTATTAGAGAATCGTTGATTCGCTTATTAATATATCGATTACCCTGTCGCCCAACCCGGATAGTCTTCCTCCACGATATTCAAAGACATGACAGTTTCGATTGCCATTTTATCGACAAGCTTCAAAAATGCAATTCAGAGATAATAGCGAAATAATATCTTTGGTGTGGAGATAAGTCAGAAGTGGTAACAGTTGCTACAATGCTACTGAATACCTTTAGCTGGAACGGACTTTAATGCGATTAAAAGGACCTCACCCCTTACTTTTGTAAATAATTGTACCCCACATGATGAGAAAAGCGCGGAAAATCTAAGAAAAAATCTTAACTTCATTCGAATTTCTTGCGTTTCTGTTGTGGTAAAATTCGTTCTCCGATTTTAAATGCGCTTAGAGTAATTAACATACTTTTATGACGATGCTCTAGCACGCAGTCATGATATATTTACTAGGTGTATCCCATAAATCGACTTTTAGCTGTGTTATAATATAACACTGTTGTGACATCTTGATGCTGCTGTGTATATATACTTAAGTTATATTCAATGAAATTATTACCAACATATTCCAATACATGGCTGTGACAACCTACCTACTGGGTGTATTATAATAAATATACATTTTAGTTCTAATGAAACAAACCCTTCATAACGTGATACTTACTGGGTGTAGCGTAATAAATATATTTTTTGGAAATATTCTAAGAAAATTTCATACCTATTACCTGCAATTTAATGCAAAGCATACTTATTAGACTTAATGTATGAAAGATGCCTTTTAGCTTTATTCTAAGAAAACATGAGGACTTCATAACTACTGAATAATTATTATGATTTCTGTATATTAGTTAGTATATTAATACAATAGATACAAGTTAATCCAATAGTTTCTGAGTCTAGTTAAATAGGTTGAAATGCCATATATTACTTACTGGGTTGTAGACTAATTAATAAAGGTTTTTAGCTGTATTATAAAACAATACATTTGTGACAACTTGATGCCTACTGGGTGTTGTGTAATTAATATGGTTTTTGGTTATATTATAATAAAATATAACAATGACAATTTTATACTTACTGGGTGTATCATAACAAATATATTTGCTGACAGTATATTAATACAACATAATCAAGATAACCCGTTAGTACTCAATCTAGTTAAATAGGTTGAAGTACATACACACTATACTATTTATTATAGTAGACTAATAAATAAAGATTTTTGGCTGTATTACTAAATAATACAATCGTGACAACTTGATACCTACTGGGTATAGTGCAATTAATATGCTTTTTGGCTATATTCTAATAAAACTTAGCAATCATAATTTCATACCTACATAATAAATATAATTTTTGACACTATATTAATACCACATAGCCAAGATAAGCCGTTAGTTACTGAATCTAGTTAAATAGGTTAAAATGTCCATATACCACTTACTGTATGTATTTTAATAAATAAAGACTTTGTGTGTAGACTAATAAATAGACAATGTGTAGACAATACATTCGTGACCACCTGATGCCTAATAAATATACTTGTGCTTGTGGTGTCATACACTGTATTCGTGGGGAAACAAAATAAATATATTTAGATATGAAAAATATTCGTGATAACCTAATACCACTATGATATAATGTAATTAATATATTTTTTGATTCTATTTTAAGAAAACATAGCCGCGCAACATGATACCCACTCAGTGTAACCTATGAAATATATTTTTTTATGCTTTTATGTGCTATAAAAATTTATTGAAAAAATGAAAGAACTATCACTTTGATTAGAGAGAGATTCTAGATATCTTTATTTTCATTTTTATTTGCTACGTCATATTTGGTTACGTAGTTGTTTATGGGCATCCCAATGACTTTTATTTTTTGTACTTTTATACTTAAAAGCTTTTTCCGTCAGTTTAATCATAACTTCCACAGTATCCTTCAACCATGGTGGTGTTTGCCTTATTATTTTTGTAGTTCTTAAACCTAATGAAGGAATTATTAGTAAATTCGAAGCATTTAATCGTCTATTTTCGTAAAGGCTAATATCGTCAATGCGATCGCAATCTAATCAGGCAAATTACCGACGTTATTTTAGTACCGAACGCCACAAAAATAATTAAAACATTTTCTAACCCGCGGAACGCCAGCAATAACGAATATCAAACCGATCGTGACTCACCATATTTTATTCCTTTATTTCCAATCGATAGCGCAAGAACTACGAGCCGTCGAAGGCCGGCGGGTAAAAAAAAACTTTTTTTTTGAGGCACACGAAATTATTTGCGCGCCTAAACGACGCGGCACCCTGTACACACCGAAGCGGATGTGTCCTCGTCGAAGTCAAATTTTGTGCGTCTCGTAAGTGCGATACGTCAGTCGGAAAGCTGAGGATCGAGCTGGTACAAGTTCCTCGCACGACTCGAACGCGACTGATTGTTTAAAAGCGAGCCAGCCATGAGTCAGGTATTGTGATAGTGTTTTATTTTGTTGTTAATACCGCTGGCGCGGTTGCCTAGGCTACGCTCGGTAAACGTCAGTGAGATGGCGTATAGTCGACGCGCGATAACTAGGATTCCAAGGATAATAGGGACTGAAACAAAATTTTTATTTGAGAAATATTGCTTATTTAAATTTAAAGGCTCTTTAAAACGCGTTGTCATTTGGTTGTGACTTTAAGTCGTTCGTAAGAGTTATCTTGCATTTAGTATTAAAAAGAAAGTTTTGAAAAGGAAAATCTTACAATTTACCTTTAGTGGACATGTTTATGATGACATCTTCTTTTGCTGTTAAAGCTAAAAGTTATGTTTATAAAAAAATTTGACATTAGTTTTAAGCCAATATATTATTGTCATCAGCTTAAAGTTTTCTAGTTTTTAAATTTCAAATGGTATATCAAATGAAATGCACATTAACTTAACGTGTTCTTTATTTTATGGAGACTCCGCAATAAAATGGGTGCAAGTTCGTCGTTTAAGCTTAAATTGACACCTGAACATAATATTAATAAAAAGCAATATATTGTTGCAATATTGATAAACAATGTGAGAAAGTAATAAATGTTATGTAAGCTCGCTATTGCCTTCCTAATGTGGCAACCAAAGTCCTCAACGTTGGAACTACAATTAAGTTCCTCACATTACAGGATTTTGGAGCAGAAAAACAATTATGTTCCGATGAAAAAAGCTCACTTTTTTACAGGAGTTATAGGCAAAGGATTGAAATACAAGTCTCAAAGACAGCTCTCAAAGCATTTTAATTTCGATACGTCTTGGCCTTTATCAGCTGATGTTTGCTTTCTTGGAGGGAAAACGAGACTACAAAATTCATAGAATTTTGTTCCGAGGAAATGCTGTGAAAGTGCTATGCTGACAATAGAACAGTCTAACTCTGGTTTATGTTTTTTTTTAATTATTGTGTAAAGTACACTAAGGACAAATACAAATACAAAATAAACGTCAATCATCATCATTCATCATCATTCCTTTTTTTAGTGTATTGAATTATTTATTGCAACTTAAATATGGCGTAATTTCTATATATAAGCAAATGTATTAAAGAACTTTAAAAAAATGTTCAAGTTCCTTATTCAAACCACAGGCATCCAAATAAAAGAGACCGTATAAGCCATAAATAAAATGGCCACTGTTACGTCACTAAATATGAATGGTTGCTATGGTACCCACGTAAGGTGGCAGAAAAAAATATTAAATAAAGTAAGTAGGTGGAACACAATTATCAAGTTCATAATTACTTTCATTTCATAAGAAATATCTTTACTCCTTGGTTAAAAATCATAAATACTTATATTTTTTATAACTTTTTCAGCAAGGAGACCATCTTTAGGCATTAAAAATATCAAAAATAGCCCCCATATATAAATGCAAAGGAGACAGATAAGACCTTAAAAACTACCGTCATCAAATCATTCTGGAAAGATTTTCGCACATTGCTGTAATACACGGCCTACCAAATGCTTTAAAATATATAGCTTAGTATGTCAGCAACAATATGGTTTTCCTAGGGATCGGTGAAAGTGAAAGCCAGTACGATGACACACGGTCAACTACTTCATTTTTAACGGTCAAATTACCACCTTGAATCCCCTAAGTTTTACTGATAACGAGCTATTTCGTTTTTTTAACATTGAGTCTGACACCCAAGGAATCTGTTATGTTGGTGGCAAGTAACACTGCGTCATCGGCATATCTAAGGTTATTGATATTCAAGCAGCCGATTTTTACCCCCGCTTGTTTGTCGTTCAGAGCTTCACTGAATATTCTCTCTGAGTACAAGTTGAATAATAATGGGGAAAGAAAGCGGCTCTGACGCACCCCTCTCTTAATGATAATTTCCTCCCAAAGTCGTATCTAGTACCATTTCTTGGAGAATGTCAATGAATTTATCGTGCCTTACGATCTCGAAGGCTTTTTCGGAGTTCACGTAACATGCAAACACATTTACAGAACCTGCATACTGTTTTTGTTTTCTTCGAAACGTTCCATTGCGGTGATGACTGAATGTTTATTTTTCAAAATTGTAGACACTGTACTTGCCGAAATCCCATACTTCACAGCTACATCTTTATTTTTTGAGCCACTTTCCACTTCTTTTATAACCTTGAATTTTTGATCAACAGACAAAGCTTTTAAGTTTTGATGACATATCAACAAATGCAAAAATCCAAAAATGTCTTTGATATAATATGTAAATTGAATAGGGACAGTATTTTTCGATTAGTATTAACTAGTAAGTCACACAAGTGAACTTAGCAAGCACAGAAACTGAACTGCTTGCATAGATACGTTAAAAAGACATGTTAAGATCGGTCGTAAATAGGGGGTTCCCCGAGAAAATTCGACTTATCGAAGTTGGCACCAAATGTTTCGTTCGAGTTATCAAGATAATCGAGTAATCGTGGTTCGAGTAATCAAGACAAACCAACACGCATTTCCTACTTTTGACGCTATTGCCAACCAATTTGGTTCGACTTATCAAAAATTCGAGTTATCGAAGTTCGACTATATATACATAGAGAGAGAGAGAGAGGGAGAGAAAGAGAGAGAGAGAGAGTTTCTACAAAAATATTTATTTTAGAAAAGACATCAAATCAACTTTAGAAAATACGATATATTGACTTTTCGTAGTTTTTTGATAATGTTCACAGAAATTCATCACAAAAATGTAATTAGGAGATACGAAACGCATGAACATTACATTAGGAATGAAAACCTATACCACTTAACGTTTTCAAGATTAAATTTTCAACAGCAAGAAGCAAACTATATTGGCATACTGTAGGACAAACCTCAAAATAGAATGTTTAAAAATTCACAAAGTCATTAATTATTACTATTATGTTTGTATTTTTATCTTCAAGTAACTGTTAAGATTCAGATAGGAAGTTAAGCTTCAATTTTCTATTGCACTAAAGTCATTATCATTATGTTTTTAGGGTGTTTATGTACTTTTACATTGTAATGAAGTCATTATGGTTATTATAATTGTATCATTTATAAATAGTTGGTTTTTATACACCTCTTTGATTATCTACTTTAAAAGCTTCCTTTGAGATTTTAAAAATAACCAACACTAGAAAAAAATATGGTACGTTCCACATCGTTCAATTTGTAATTAGACATTGAATCAGATAAAGAGTGTATTTTATCCTTGTCATATTAAAAAATTAAGAGGATAATGATAAAGTACCTTCTTGTAGTACCTTAAAGATGCCAATTAGAAAACGTTATTAGTTTTTTTGATATCTCTTGAAGTATTATCAAATTCCTGCTTTTCCCAAATATCTCATCATTAGTTAGGAAATTAATCGAACCTGATACAACGAAATATTCTTAACGGTTTTGGTAAAATATCGCATCGAAGGGTTTGGATATTATTCACAAATAAAAAATCATTATTATTTTGTACTTAAGCGACGCCAGACGCATTGTTGACGCCCCCAAACACAAAGTATTCGATTTCAAACCGTTATTGGGCACGTATCAGTTCACCGAATACAGGGCGACTCAACATACGTTTCAAATATTCAAACCACCATAAACGATACCTCTGCATTTAACATACCTGTGTGTATACACGGTGAGTCCATAACTGTCAAACATTCTTAGAATGCACTGTTTAAAATTATTTTGAATTATACAGGGCTGCTCAAAAAAGAGTGAAGAATAAAGCATACATTTTTGAAATTCTTCAACCTTTTTATTGACAATAACACATACCTAGAATTAATTGTTTTTCCAATATTTTAATTTGTGTAAAAAAAGTTTAGTTTTCACACTTATATTCAAGCACGTTCCATATTAGCGTTATTCGAAGATGACGTAGAAGATATATCAAAGGGTGTTCAAAACAAACGAATATATTTGGACGAGTTTAAATTGAAAAATCTCGATTTTCCCACAAAAATGACACACACACCACTGTGTCATACACCATTAATATTATTTTTTCTGAAAGATGTCACAAATATCTACAACTTTTATAGAGTATGTCATATGAATATGTTTCATATTTTACGATTTATTTTAACTATTTACCCTTCTTTTCGTCCAAGACTATTACTATAATATTAGATGGCCAAAACTATTAGCCAAAAGGGATCTGTTAAAATTAAAAAATGAACTTTGTTGCAAAGTCTTTTTCGTATATTTTCTTGGACGTTCCGTATCATAAACTGTATACGCATCTCAAATCCTAATTTCCATATCTTTTGGTGTTGTAGGACGATTCACATAAACTCCATCTTTAATATATTCCCATAAGAAGATATCTAATTGTGTTAAATCACATGATCGAGGAGGCTATCCAATAACTTTAAAGTGATTTGTTCCACACCACACATTAAGTGACCAATGGTTTGGGTTTGCATTTCCCGTACCCAGAATGGATTAATAAATGATTGAATAATAATGCACGTTATGTAGATTAACTGCACCATTACTGCGAAGAGTAGATTAATAGGAAAGCATTATTTTAGACAAAAAAAAGTTTAACTTTTGTTAAAAATCAAAAGTTCTTGGTGTACCTCCATAAGGAATAATATTTGTGTGTTCTACTGGTGCGATTAACAGTGATTGGACTGTATCACATAAGCTAGCTACTTCACGGTTACTTACCAGGGGATTATCTTGAGCTTGAAGTAAAATTTCCAATCATTTTTCTTCATTCAAACCGTTCCATTAAACACTAAAGAGATTGTCTATTAGGCTACCTCGCTTGGTAAAGTCTTACTGGCAATAAAATATTTTTTCCGCTTCACCCAGTATATAAATCATACCAATTAATTCAGCATTAGGTAAATGCATACTTAGTTTTCGTTTTTTCGTTTTTTTCTTTACTGACACGCGAATAAACGTTATGAATTGTCAGGTAAAAATTTGACAATGTCATTTAGTCATGGCCAACTAATGTTATAGC